GGCTGGCCATGGTCTGTGACTGAAGGTCTCCCCAGCATAAACACTTGGAAAGGTGATTTAATTGGGAAAGAGCCTGCAGCAAAATACAGAAGAACAATGGCAACACTGCAAAATGTGGTGAGGAGGATTTCTGTGAGGACAAGTTATACAGGGCTCAAAATGAATGAAGATGCTCATGTTACATTCATGACTGCTACTGAGCTGGAACAGCATCAGGAGCTCACTGACACAGAAAAGCCTCAGCAGAAAGCCAGACCCTGTAGTCTCATAAACTGCATAAAATATGTTTGTAGAGCTGTCAAAACTAAATTTCTCCAAGTCCTGACACATGCTATCTAGACATAACAAGGACCAGTATTGCCACTAAGAATGGAAAATTAGGAAGCAGTAGGAGCATGGCTTCTCTCAAGCACCACTAAAATAATCTGCTTAGTTAAGCACTAAGTTTGACTACCAAACACCAAATCATGCATCTTTGGAAGTCCCCTCTTTTTATTAGGCTGTCCAGAAGGTAATATGCTGAAAATAGCAGTGTTAGAGAGTATAACATGAGAAAGCTGCAGAAATCAAGTTGGGTCTCTCAGCCTCATAAATTACTTTAAGAAGTGATGCTCATTTATACATGAGGGTAACAGAAGAGTGAAACGAAATGTTAACTGCAGGATTTAGTCTGAAGTTCCTTGTCCAGTGCACTGTCAAAAGAACTTTAAAAAACTACAAGACTGAGGAGGTCCTGAAACTTCAACTCCTGTTGCTTTGAAAGAGACATCAAGCAGTCAGATGCATGATTCAACCTTGGAAACGGCTTCCAGAAGTGCATCATCAGGTTTATTACCACAGTCAGTCACTTAATCAACAATTAGAGCACTGACAACAGATTTATTCCCACCTCAGAAAAAAAACACCTTTCAAGATCTGCTACAAGTTGCAGCTCCAAAAGTACTGATCCATTCACATCCACAAAAACAATGTTTTTCTGGAGCAGTAAAGGCAGTACATTGGTCAATTATCAAAACAGGATGAACCACTAAAACAGAGCCTTGGTCTTCCAGTTGATTGCTTATGAATTATTTACAACTAAGCAGCCTTCAGGCCAGAAATGACAAAAAGCATAAGAAACAACATTGCCTGCTCTCCTCTCAAGCACACACAAGTACATCGCCCTGTCTACAATTCCCCATCACAGCTCGTCAGCTGAGCCCAGTAAAACAAAAGTTTCTTTCCAGACAGGCACCACACAGCTGTACACTTGCAAGTAATGTTCTGGAGGAGCTACAAGGATGGCAGCAGAGTAACTGATAATGTTCTCTCACTTCTCTGCCTCTGTAGGCTCCAACAGCAACCAAATTATGAAGACACCAGTGTGTTGTGGGCAACCAGCCGCATCTTAAATTTTTCAGCAAGATTGATGGTCAGATTAGCTAATTGTTATGCGTAACATCTTCTCAAGAAGCTTCACGTGTACTAGCCTGCCCTCACCAGGCTGCCAATGACAAATGCTGGAGTCCCATCACACACACACCAGGACAGTTGCACATACAACATGCTTGAAGCTTACTTTAGATGTTCCTTTCTATAAGGCTGTAAATCAAAACGTACCAGACAGTGACTACTGGCTCCTGCATAGTTTTTGTTAGGCCTTCATAAGCATCAATGCCCAGCTTGCAGGAGAAAGCAACTCTTTTTGCACCATGTGTGGTTAGACCTGCTGCTGGACACCACCACAGCAAAACAAGAAGAGAATGTCACCCTATTCCAGCCAAAACAAAACAAACACTGACTCTATTCCCTCAAACAAACCATGATTTTAAAAAGTCACCACACACATCTTCATTGTTTTCAACCAAACACTGATAACTGTCACAGCAACTGGGGATGTTATCAATAGGCTTGAAGACATCTGTAGGCAACAGCCCTTGAGAAGGAAGGAAGCAAGCAAGAGAAAGCATAAAACCCTCCAAGATAGGGCTGGCAGAGAATCACACATATGCATCCCAAATTGGCAGGTCCATACAAACCCTGGAATCACACACTGCTCCCATCTTTACCCACTGGGACAGATCTCGCCACTCTGATGACGCAGGAGGAACGCGGCTGCACATTTTCAAGGGGCTGATCTACTCTAAACTTCCTGACATCCAGCCCATAACCTGGGCTGGTATTTATCACAGTAAGCACTAACATAAGCAACAGGCAAGCTAAAGGTTTCCAAAGGGAAGGAAGAGCGGCAGCAAGGGGAAATCACGGCCCCCATCCCCACACCACAGGGTACCTGCTGCCAGGGGAACTTTTCACAATAAAACTCGGCCCCGTGGGGTCATGCCCCAACACTCAGCAAAGGCTCTGACGGAGAAGATGATATGAGAAATTTCAGTACAACAAGCAGTTCATAGCAGATTTGTATTTAGCTGTTAAATATGCATCTGGACAGGACCAGATTGGAAGCAGACAGAGGTTTTTACACACACATTTCTCCAAAGAAGTCTGATGTAACTGCAGGACATTTAACTACCTACCCACCATGCATCCTATTTCTTACCACACAATTCTGGCAGACTCAGGTTTTTTTGCTTATTTGTTTATTATTGTTTTGAATGAAACCATTGCATTCATCTGCTGTGTAAAATGCAGAGAATTCCAAATGGATTGGCGAATTTTTCATTTGAGTTCCAGTACCTTTAATTTTATATACGTTATGGAAGACAGCTTTAATTCTTTGCAACATCGTGGTGCAAGTCATCTACTATACTGGCATTTATTATTTAATTACATATTCACATGCTTCTGCACTACACAGATTTCACTTTGCCGCTAGGGTGTAATTTCCAGTGTCCTGACCTCAGCTAAGAAGATTAATTACTGACATTTTTTATATTTTGGAGACAAGCATGAGAAGTTACCATTTTCTTCCCTAGGACTTGTCACCACAACATACCACAACAGACTCAAAAGGCCCTTTTTCCTACATGACTTGGGGGAAGGGGCAAATTTTAAAATTTTTGTACTTAAGGGTGATCTGAGACATCATTATTTAAAGGGAAAAAAAAACTGAAAGAATGAGAAATTATTTCTAGCCATGAATGCTTTAAACCAAGTCTAGGCATGAATTAAGAATGAACAAAGTTAACAGCACCACTGTGTTACAGCTGTAGTTAATGCTGTTCCACTCCCAAGCTCAAAGGTGCTGTGTAGCTCCATGCCTGAGGCTCACAACAGAAAAATACATGAATAGAACAACGAAAAGTAGGAAGAAGCAATCTGACATGGAAAGGAACTTAAAATTTGAGCAAAGAGGGCAGATGCATTTAAATCTCCCAGGTGAGAGTTTGATCTCCCCGAGAGAACTGCAACACAATGCACTCGTTCCCTCCAAAGATAGGGGCAGGCTTTCCTACACAAAGAAAGCATCTCAGGACTGAGAAATGAAGTTCCAGCACCAAGGTCCCCATCACCATGCAACAGATCAACTGACACAGCACAGGGGTACAACCTCATTTAGATGGTAACCTGGGTACCATCTTAGTAGAATCATAGAATCATCCAGGCCGGAAGGGACCTCCAAAGGTCATCTAGTCTGCCTGCTTCAACCATAAAAAGCTGTCACTGAATAATAAATCTGATGGGATCCAGCAGCCAACAAGCAAGGGAAAAGAGCAGAGTAAGTTTAAGGAGACAGACAGCAAGCAGTGAGTTAAGGTGTGAATGGGAACTGATGAGGACAGCTTGAGGCAGGAATCACAGAAACCAAGGGAAAGCAGTGACCGGCAGGACAGGATGTTTTCAATGTCTGTGGATGTCTGTTCACTAACAGCATATGTGTAAAAATCCAAAACTGAACTCAGGTCAGCTGAACCCAGGCAACCTTCATCTTAAAAGAAAATATGTTTTTAGATGCTGTAGAGTATCCAATGAAAAACATGTACAATGTGAGAAACAATAACACATCCTTTTATTAAAAAATGAAAGATTTCCTCATCTCCTATTAAAGGGCTTTATTCCTACATGCACTACAGAAATAACTTATTTTTCTCCTCTATTAAACACAATATAAAAAGCTATGTACTTTCAACAGAATTTCAGGTCACTTGCATTATATAAAAAGTACCATTCTGTACCAAATGCTGTTTATCACTTTTCTCTCTCATTCATATTCTCATCTTCACAATTTTCAGTACTCACAGGATTTCATCTCAATTCCAACTAAGCTTGACCCCAGGCAATTGTTATCCTTGCATCATTTGAGCCTACAGCACCTCAGGAGTCAGCGGCTGTGAACAGTTGTGGGATGTCACACCTTTTGCCCTTTCGCACTTATCCAGCATAAACCTCAACTATTCAAATGAAGATTTCATTTGGTGAAAGCGAGTGAGGACTCTGAGCAATCTCCATCACGCTTTTTGTCCAGAGCTGTGAAACTTTGGGAGCAAGTGCTGATCACACCCACTTATGCTGGAGAGTGAGAAAGCCTGCTGCTATAAATACAGCTGTGACCGAAATGCTGAAAACAAAAGAAAGAAATCACCTCAGGCCTTGCCTGCCAATTAGGATCTGGCCACTGAAAGTACAAAAAAGATTCTGGGCAAGGCCTTTTTGGAGCAGCTGACTGTTCAGGTACCTGCGAGAGCTCGGAGTTCAGCTGGGGCCACCGGATGCTCTGAAACTCACCCAGCCAGGAAGCCACGGCACTTGTCAGTATCTCCCTCTCTACATATTATAGGTGCACAAATTCACACGTGTATTTATAATGCGGGGTTAATACCACATCTCATTTTACTTCCAACTAGTTTCCAGAGGCTTTTTTTTTTTTTTTTTAAATCAGTGATCGGCGTTCCCTCCTGGGAACTGCCGGACATGGGGCATACGGGGAGGCAGGCGACTTGTAGCCCTCAGCCAAGTGCGGGCAGCCCCGCGGCTGGAGGCGTCCGTGTCCCCCCCGCCCCAGCTCGCCACCTGCTCGGGGGGCAGCGGGAGCCCAGCCCGGCCCGGGTCGCTCCACTCACCCAGAAGAGGAGGTTGAGGGCGTAGAGCAGGCAGCGCAGGCACTTCACCGAGTCCTCCCTGGCCATGGCGAGCCCCCGCGGGAGACAGCCCCATCCTCTCACCACATCCTCCCGCCCGAGGCCGGGCCGCCAGCGCCCTGCAGGGGAAGAGGCGGAGAGGGGCCGGGCGAGTCCCCCTTTTGCCGAGGAACCGGCGGGCAGGTGGAGGCGGCAGAGCCGCCCCGAGCCGCAGGTCGGCCCCGGACAGGCC